TTCTGATGTTCTGTTCGGTTTTAACTTTCTCTTTAATCACTTTCACACACAATACACTGCTAAAAATGCATTATATTTTAATTATTTGGTGATATTTACTTTCTATATAATTTAAAGCGGATTTCTTTTGCCATGTAGAAGATTTTAAAAAGTGAATTTATAATATTTATTGTCAGCATAAATTTTGTGATTTATTTTTAAATTATATTATTCAGTTTAAGACAAATTTCTGTTATGAGTGCTCACACACTTGGGGTAGTTGATAAATTAATCAAAGTTCAACTGTTCTGTAGTCACACGAGATACATTTCGAAGGCATTACTACTACAAAAGACTTGAGCACTTCAGACAATTTGCCAAAAGCACCCCAGTACACCCAAACTCACGAGAGAAATAAATGTAGGCTGTAAAAATATATTTCTCCCGGCCCGGGGATCCAACCTGGGACCTCTGCGTGGCAGCCCGGCATGGTAATGTCATGGACGAGATATTTCAGATAGGTAGAAAGAGGTCTATATTCTCTGTATGTTTTCACGTAGCACGAGGGAGTTTTCGTGCGTACGTGTTTTGCCATTTTAAATGATTAATTAATCATCTACCGCAGTGTGAAATCACCCTTACAGCAAATTTGATAAAAAGCAAAGAGAATTTAATATTATTGTGTATTTTTTATTTATTATAACTGCAAAACACTACAGCACTACGAGCCTCTACGGTTCTAGAACGAATTGCTTTGATAATCGAAATATGCATTAGTCTAGACAACCATACCCTCCACTACTGGGCACAGATCTCCTCTAAGGAAAGACTAGGCTTTGGTTGATTTCGCATAACAGTGGATGTGTTGAATTAATCACTCTAGAAAAAATATATAGTAAATTGAGGATATAATCTGATTACTATACGGTCTGACAACACGATTCCTAAATTTTTTTAAGATAGATTAAAAAAACACAGTCACCATCATCATCAACCCCTTTATATGTCCCACTGCTGGGCACGGGTCTCCTTTCAGACGAGGGTTTAGGCCATAGTCCGCCACGCTGGCCCAATGCGGGTTTGGGACTTCAAACACAAACTTACCTCGAAATTTTACAAGAAAAACCGCTGTATTCAATGGGTACTTAACATATACCAATTATTTTTTTAATATCAACTGAAGTAAATAGAACATTGGACCTAAATAGAGTAGACTCAAACTACTACAATCTATATATAAATTCAATATACGTGTCACAACAGGGCATAGGTCTCTAGGGAGGCGGTATAGGCACATTGCTACTAAAAATTGCATATTTCGATTATCAGCGTTGCAAGCTCGTCATCATTTTGTAATCTTACAAAAATATAATAATAAATGCATTTCATTATTGTTTAATCAATATTTTTTATGGCAACACAATACATACTAGACTTGTAGTACCATTTACAAAATACCTAACTAGCACTTATATACAAGGTTAAAAGATGAAACAATAAAAAAAAAGAAATATAAAATAATAAAGATCTTTCTTTGTCATTTCACACCAGATCAAGTTTAAAAATTAAAAACAAAATTATGATAATAAAAAAACGTCATGTCATAATTAAGAGAATTTTCAGACACCCTGTATTAATAAAATTAGTGTGTCTAAAATACAATCGTACAATAAAAAAAACAATCAATACTTGAGATAAAAGTCCGACGTCAGCGTCCTTGTGTTTCGACATCCAAAAAGGATCACAATTTTCTAATAGCTAAAAATTTTGAATTTGAAAGGGCACCGTGTACTTCGCACCCATTTCGCACCGAATCTGATGACGTCATCAGCATTGCATTCTACTCAAGACGGAACTCATGACGGTGTGTCAGACTAGCATTATACTAAAAATGAAGTTGTTACTGGTGATGTCATCAGAATAGTATTCCACGTAAAATGAGTCTGATCGGTGGTGATCTAGTTTAGTAACAGCTTGAGACGTCATCAAAATAGGCATTCCAATGTAAATAGTCGCAAGGGTTTTTGTACAAAAATGCGAATTTTACAGTGTGTAAAGAGGCACATTGTCGTAAATGTGATTCAATATTGTATTACATTTTGGTCGATTTATACATACTTTTTACACGTTAATTCATTACATAAGATCCTAATTTATTAGACAACATTCTTTGAAAAACAACTTCAGCACACAAAACCAAATAACTATTACTTATGAAAGCCAATTTCAAGTTGCGACACAAATAAATTTTTCATAGTACATTATCATAAGCACGCGATCCAAATGTACAAACAGTTGTTCTTTATTCGTGATTTTCGATATCGATTATCTTCATTTAGCAAAGGCAGAAGCAGACTGTTGTGTACAGTTATACCACTACGTACACGTAATATATTTCAAATTGGAATACAAATGAAAGTAATTGCGGAAAGATGAGGCGGAGACTCGTGAAAGTATGGTGTTTTATACAATTTCTTAACCGAGAGATTGCACGTGTGTTGTGGGCCGCGGTTTGTTCAGAGTGTGAGGACAACAGCTCAGTGGCGACAACGTGGGGGGAGCTGATACGAGATAAGATTGTTTTTTTAAATAATATAACACTTATTAATACAATAAGTATATATAATACTTATCAAATGAGATGGAGGTCAAAGTCGAGGACGGAAACTGAAGACGATGAGGTCGACGATGGAGTATGCAACCAAAATAATGGCTATTCATTCTCGCCTTGAAAAGACCCAAGTTATAGCATTCAGGGAATATGTCCGAGGGCAAGAAATTCGCAATGCGTTAACGGATTGTATTGGAAATATTCGAACAATATAGCAGCCCCTTAGTCCATTTGCACACTGTATGTGACTATACAAATCTAGAAAACTCGGAAAACACTAATATCGCTTGTACATCTAGAGATAAAATAATGATATATATTAACTAACGAGTTTCTTTCGTGATTTCAAATTAAAAGTTGTCACAGTAAAAGTGGGTTTGTTTTCATGTACTAAAAATGTCCATTCAAAGAGTGCTAACAAATAACTTAGGAATGAATATTAATAGTCACATTTAAAAAAAAACAACACCATCATATAAAAAGAGATTCGAATATGATTCATAACGAGTATTCATAATTAATAACTTAACCAAATATAATGTGAGAGAAAAACAATTATTAATAAAGTCTTAAAATTATTACAATTTATTAAATAAAATAATAATAATACTAGCGCTTTGTGATGTTAATGTTACAAAAATAAATAAGATTGATAACATAACAATTTTTTTTATAATTAAGATTAAAAAAAAATATTTATACAGTTACATAAAAATTATTTTTCCATAATATCAAGTGAAGAGACAGCCCACGTAGCCCCATATCTTTCTACATTACTTTTGATTATAGTGACCCTCTCTATCTACCCTTACGAGATACGAGAAGGGCACTATAACCTGTGCGCGCACAGGAACCTTACAAGTTCAGTTTCTGACCCCACATCAACCAGTGTACAGGGTTGTCACTTGACTTCATCCGGTTCTTCGAGAGGCTAGTGCCTCGAGTGAGCCGTCCCGGGTGCACGTACAGTACACTCCCTATTTTCCAGATAGGTACCGGAGCTGTAGGCACGTTCAATGAATCAAGTGAAGAGACTAACAAGTTGTACGCCAGTTGCAGCGCCGCAAACCGCCGGCCACCCTGAGACATAACGTTGACAAGTTATACTTGTAATTTCACCAGCACCCTTACCCTTCCACACCGGAACGCTTTACTGCTTGGCGGTAGAACGCACGCACGCACGCTGGTACTGAATAGCATTATATTATTATGATATTAATGTAAAGAAATTTACTCTGGTGGTGGTACCAGAGCTCAGTCACTCGCTCAAGGTTATGCTATAAGTGCCTACCGCTGAGTGTACCGACGTCAGTACAAGCGATCATACAAGTCTTTCACTTACGAGCATTCGGCTCGCAAGACTGCACACGGCGGGAAACGTTATAGAAAGCGTGCTTAAGTTTCTTTTTTTTCGTAGTGAGCGCCTGCTGTCGTTAGTCAGATTTAGTAGGCTATTCTGTTACGTAGTATTATGTATTCTGTGGCATTACCCAGAGCTTCTAGACTAGAACCAATTTTGCGTGTTGCTTACCACCAGACCTACAACTTGTCTGTCCCGTCTCTCGGAGCTCATCAAGTAATAACCTTGCAAAGTATTCTGATGTTAAGGATCCTATTTAGTGGCACAAAAGTCTATAGACAACGATAACATCACATCTGTACAGTTCATGCATCCCCTGAAAACTTGAAACCAAGTCTGAAAGATCACGAAGGAACATCACAATGTCTCGGTATAGTAAAAGGTGATATTTTAACTTGAAATGCATGTTTAGGTTCCTGGTGGATCTTATTTAAGCAGGTTTGTGTCAACATTAAAATATATCGGTATGTAGTTGCGTGGAAGAATTGGATTCATAAGTTTTTACATATAAAAAGTGGTCGAGAAAGCATTTTTTTAAATCGCGTATAGTTAGAATGAGCTATGACGTATTAAAAGAAACAAACATACGCGAAACAGTTGCGTTTCCAAGTTATTATATCAATATCAATCATAAGACGTCCACTGCTGATCACAGGCCACTTTATATGTAACTGTATATAATATTTCTTTTTATAAACACAACTTACATTTCATATTAAATGAGTAAAATTTTTTGCTTCATAAATTACAAAATATGAATAACAATGCAAATTACTTGACGACTTCAAACTGGATTTCGAAACAGCCGAGCCGATTTTGATGTAAAGATAAAATTATGTTTAGTATATGACAACTTTTTACTTATTTGGAAGATTTTGCAAAATTTTCAAATTTGGTGGCGTAAACAATGGTGCCACCACATTACGTGTGTTCGTATAAAGGCAAGTCAAATAGACTGTTAGTTACTGTAATTCATAGACATAGGCCACACATTCCAAGTGCATATAAAATTTTAGAAAGCCCCTTTTCAAGCAAGAAAGGATTTACGACAAAAAGTATAATTTGGTGCTATCGTACGACAAATAAGTCCAATTTATATAACAAATAAATCCAATTTATACGTACGAAAAAATACCAGTTTTCAGTGATCAAGTAATTTTTGAGTAAATACAAGAATAATTACATTTAATAATAATAATAAATAAGCTAATAAATTATTATTATCCATTGGAATTTTGTGATTTTTGTTCAAACATGGCCGCCATGTCCCGAATGTTGTATGAGGGGGACATTTTTTCTTTCCTGTCAATAAGATAAATAAATTTAAAAAATTGTAGAGATCCGTGTTCAGTATTAGAAGGTATGTGGGCGTTAGTGTTTCAAATTCGACTATAATTCACGTGTGTACAGTCAAAACTGCATGAAACTTTATTACATTTTGGACCTTGGTCCTAACAGGCCACTAACAGATTGATATCATCATTTCAGCTAAAATACATCCACTGCTGAACATAGGCCTCCCCAAAGAATTCCACAACGACCTGTCCTGCGCCGCTTGCATCCAGCGGATTTAACAGGTTCAACGCATTAACTGCATGGAGTCGAAACGGACTTTATGCAGCCGAGATCGACTGCATGCAGTTAATATGTGAAGTCGTTGCCAACTTAGTACAGTCGATGTCTCAGCTGCATGAAGTTGATTACGACTTCACGCATTGACGACACCCGTCAATTGTTTCAAATTCGGGCTGGCCAATCGGAGCGCAGTTGTCACAGTAAGGATGTGGCATAAGGATTTCTGGAAGGGCAGCTAAAGGCAACAGATAGGGGTATAGAGGTGGCTGTTTACTAGGCCAAAGAAATATAACACTGGTTTGGTATTTTATTGGCATTTGTCATTGACTCTACAAGAGGAAGAAGAATTAGATCCAAAAATTTCGTTCTGTCTAAACAGCGAAGTATAGTCGTCGTATCATATGTCCAGATTTTAATATATGAATATATGTAATTAATAATTATAATAATTTAATAAATGAATAAATTGATGAGTTTTGACAAGAGCTACAATTCAATGCGCTAAGAGCTAAACGGAAAACACGTTGTCGTGGAAAACTGCCAAATGCCACTTACGACAATTAGTCAAGAGACACTATTACGTGAAAACTGGTGATACACACAACATCTACAGTTAAATAGTACGAAAAAAAGAAACAAAAATAAAAAGTCACAAAGCGTTTTGGAATACAAACACAAATAAACCAATTCCTTTTTACCCGACTGCGGGAGGGTTATGTTTTTCGAGTGTATGTCGGTTTCTTTGTCACGTTGTACAGTTTAAACGGCTTGATGGATTTTGACATATAAGGTGTCATAGGCTAATCAAAAAATCAAGATAGTGATGGGCAATATTTGTTGCAGTCGGGTTTTTGTTCTTTTAAATAATTTTCAGACTTGTTTTAAACAAGCTGTACTAGAACATTAGTGGCGATGGTCACCTATTTCCCACCACTTTCCTAACACTCACATATTTTCCACCACTTTATTGTCTGATAATTTTCTAACTCTTCATATATTTAGAGGCTTTGATCATTATTGAACATATCTGCTTGATTAGGAAAACAATTAATCAAGAAAAGACAATAAAATCCAAACAGATAACTCAAAATACTACCTATAGTCTGTCTTTTTTGAAGATGGGGTAAAATAACAGTTCATTGTGCGAATGTTGCACATTTGCAAGCAGCTAGTGATTGGAATCGATAAATATTCTATCGATTATGGTCGCACATAAATAGCCGAACGTGTTTCATTTGAATTGTCAATTTCTGTATGTTCACTAAACATAAAAAAGATATGTTTTAAAGTTTTTCATTATAATTCAATATAGATAATCAAGTCCGCCTGCTCTTGTTAAAATGTATATGAATAAAAATTTATTTCCATACTATTAGGCCAACTGTCAAAATAAGAATGAAGTAATAACACAGTTAGTAATCACTAGAACGTCGTAACATTCACAATTCTGTTCAATTTCTACGTACGAGGTAAGTGGTTGTTCTGTACTGTTTCAGACATTGTCGCTGCTATATCTTAAGTCAATGAGAAAAATCTTAAAAAAAACTGTAATTCAGAAACAGGAGAAAAACATTTTTATATATACTAAACATGACTTTTTGACATGTACATATTTTCCACCACATTTGCTCGTAAATGGTATGATTGCATGGTGGCTAACTTGAATATAACGCCCTAAATAAAACCCGGGGGGCCTTTGTTCTTTCCATTACGGCCATTGTCGGCAAGTTTTTGTTTTAATTTGTAGCACGACATTGTTCCTTAAATAGGTCAGATTCAAATTCAAGTAAGGAGGTTGCTTAAGTTCAAAATTAAATATTCGCTTAGAATGTTATCTAAACAGAAATTTAATTGAAATTCAGCCATATACTACTGAAATATTTACTGTAAAGAATTTCTTATAATTGTTTTTAATTATTTCCTGCACAAAAAATTTTAATTATACAATTTAGCATTTTTTTTACAGTCCATAACGGCTGTGCGTGTTTGCTTTTTATAACATTTTAATTCGAGTTGTATTATGTATGGAAGAATGAAAAAAAAAAAAAATTGCGTCATTTGCAAGATCCATAATTGTTGTGTTGTGAACTATATTTACTTATATTGTATTTATTTTCTCGTGATGAAAAACATTGTATGTATCGCGGACGGTAAAAAATACAAAAGTCGAGTTATTAAAGCCCTCAGCCTTTGACTTCGGGCTTCTAATAGATCCTCGTTGGTAATTTCTTATTTATCCTCACAAACACAATGTACTGCAACCCTCTATATATTTGTTAATTATTTTTATGTGTTCTTCGTTTTATTTATTTTGAATTATACAGGGTGTAAATTTGAAATGGGGCAGCAAGGCCAGCTACCTTAATCGTTGTAGTTACAGGAAAATGGTTCTAGAAGACTATCCATGAATTTTGAAGATATTTTGAGTGGCATTCACATATTTTGAAAAAATGGTACAGTCAGCAAGACAAAAGGCAATTTTTACAAAACTTTTTTTTATGCCATTCGTTCCGGTCTCTGGTAAGGATCAATAGTCTCTATGGGACCAACTGAGGTAAGAGCACTCGAAATGGCAGAAATCGCAAAAAATCTTTTACCACACATTTTAAATGAAAAGTTTTTGTTAGAAACGAAACTGGCCACTACTCTACAAATAAGACTTAAGTAAAACCAAACCATAATCACATCGGATCGATTGGCATACAAAAAAGGTTTGGAAAAATTGCCTTTTATCTGGCTGACTGTACCATTTTTTCAAAATCTGTGAATGCCAATCAAAATATCTTCAAAATTCATGGATAGTCTTCTAGAGCCGTTTTCCTGTAATTACAACGATTAAGGTAGCTGGCCTTGCTGCCCCGTCTCAAATTTACACCGTGTATAATTCAATTAATTATTTTTAATTATATAATAATATATATTAAGAATGAATGCGAACATATTTTGTGATAATATTCGTATACCATTTACTGGCGCAACACGCTTAACTATATGAGTATCGAATTTTAAACTTTATGTACACTACATGTACCGTGTATAATCGTAACAGATATATATAAACAGATACAATAGAGATCAAAGAGTGACTCATCGGAGCCGAAAGCTAACAACCTCCCCCTCGTCTTAACACTACTCTAGGCACAAACTTGCTTAAAAAGTTATCGAAGCAATACGTCCTTTAAATGTCATATTCCAAAATGCTTAAAGAACAGAAAGAATAGTTTGTACTTACCTTTCAAAACTGCTGCGACCAGCGCTCTCTCTTCGACTATCGCATCTTTCTAAATCTCTTCTTTCATCTCTCAATAACTCTCTCGACTCTCTGTCGTATTGCAAATCTGTCCTATCTCGCAATTCTCTATCTCGTCTTTCTCTCGAATACTGGTCAAACTCACTGCTATCTCGCGGTGTATCTCGTCTATCTCTTGAATATTCTTCATTTATCTCTCTGCTATCTGGTATATCTCTTCTATTTCCTAAATACTCAACTTTTTCCGGACTAGTTGGTGACGGTATCGTATCGAAGTTATTAGGGCTTTTGGCCAGTGAAAATTTCATTCTTTGGCCTAAATCCACTGTATTACGTCTTTCGAATTTTGTATTAGAGTCATCCCGTAACCGCTCGCATCGTTCTATAGACTCCTCATCCTTTTTAATTTTAATTCTCGTTAACTGTTCTGGATTGCTTCTAAAAGATTGGCTACTGTACTTTTCCCTTAAGAAATTTCTTCTTTCCTCTTTGTACTTTTCAATTCGTTCCCTACTTAACTTCTTCTCTGCTTCAAATCCAATTAAAGTCTTTAAATCCGGTTTGACATCAAATCGTTGAATTAACGAAATCTTATTCTCAGTAGTCGGTGTTATACTTTCGAATTTCGGTTTTTGCTCTTCAAGGTTTAAGTTCAAATCTATTTTCTTCTTACCATCTCTTACTTCTAAACTTTTTCTTCTATCTACGTATGTTCTTTCTGGTCCAAATTCTTTAATGAAAGCATTTTCATCCAGCGACCTCGCATTTAAAGAGTTCTTGGACAATTTATTGTTGCCTTTGGGGGACGTTTGCCTTGTTTCTTGCTTGACCATATCAGATTTACGTTCCAAACTAGGGTATTTAATTTCAGCTTTGAATTTCTCAAAAACAAAGGGTCCTTTTTGTTCTGTGGGGCTTTCAAAACGTATAGCTAACTCCCTTACGTTTAAATTCTTACTTTTTATAATATTGCCGTTGTCTTTCTCAATATGTTCAACATTATCGTTAGTCAATTCATGTTTGTCGCATATCTTCAAAGTATCAACATTGATACTGTCAAATTCTTTACCGAATTCAATATTTTCATAATGCCGTTCCTTTTCAGGGGTTTCGAGAATCATAGCGTTTACCTCATCAATGCTTTTCTTGAAGAACTTAACTTGGTTGTATACTTCTTTATCATCAGCTGTTGAGTCTGTAGGCGTTTCAAGTATGATTAAATCTTGTTCAATTTCAGGTTGGCATGCGGGTGTAGGTAATGACGCGTCTATATCAGGAATGGAAGCATCTTCTACTATAGACAAATTATTATCCAAATTAACGTCTTCATATATTGAATCCCTATCATTTGTTGGTGTAAGATCATTTTTATTTTTAGTGGGAGACCTAAATGTAATACTAATGGTAGACTTTAAAGGGCTTTTTAAAGGCGATCCCGGTGAACTTGTACTAGATGATTGTAAATTTATATAATTGGGTCTTGTAAAGTTATAGCATTCATAAACTTCATCATTGTGTTTCAAACTGGTGTCGTAACTAGACGAACTTTCGTGTGATGACGTCATAATTTTCATAAGGTCTTGCTTACGATCCGACTCTGAGTTTGATGACGTAGAAACAGCAGACAATCTGTTCAGATTCTGGTAACTAATATCTTTAACTGGACTGTCTTCGCCGAAGCGTACATTTTCGTAATCAGCAGCTTTTAATTCACACTTTAGGCATTTCTCTTGCGTACAATTTTCGCAGCTGTTTTCAATTTTAATCGTATGTTTATTATCTTCCGAATCACTTTCTAGAGTCTCATAATTTGGGGTAGCCGGTGTTACAGGACTGGAGTTCAATGTGCTAGTCGTCAAGTTACTTACAGAACTGTTCTCAATAGGCCAGTCAATCTTTATCAATGTGGAATGTCCGTCTTTACCGTGCCAACTAAGTCGTGAGTTTGTATTATTGATAGTATTGACATTATTGACAGTTATACTGTCAATCGGGTGGTGTAGACCACTGTATCGAGAGCTGTTTTTTGTTTTGCGCGGCGAGTTTCTATCCCTGGAAATTGTTAGTAGGAGCTTGAAATTTGTCATATTTATTTTATTAGTTTTTTGGAGATTGCAGATTGAGTTTATTGTTGAATTAATTTGTTATCTCTCTGATTTTCGTAGTGCTCCCTTTTATGGTAATATAAGTCGAAGGCAGAATTTTGGTGTTTATCTCATTTCAGGTTCCACTTTTAGATTTGTCTTTAATAGTTCATTGTGTTCGACATAATAGTAAATAGTACTAATCCAAGTACCAACGTGCAGATTTAAATATCATTCAAGTATTAAAAGAACGAAAAATCAATCTACAATCTCCAAAATCTAAAGTACATTGCTACGAGAACAACAAATTTTCAAAAAGATTTTAACTAATTAAATTACTATTGTCATATTAGACTATTGTAGCTATAAGCTTGCCTACATAATCAACTGAAGTTCCAGTAGGTATCTGAGGTGGGCCATATATAAACCAGAGTTGCGCAAGATCACGGTGGATGGAACGAACTGCAGGACGCCTGGTATTAAGTGATATGTTGTATATAGCAGTAGTGTCACTCAGAGCTTTAAATCGCAAAATCTGAGGGACACTGCCACTGCGCCCGTCACCGTGAGACATAAGTGACAAGTCTTATAGGTAAGGTGGACAAGGCGCTCTACCGCTGCTACAAACATCTGGTCTGGTATGTCGATGATGAGGTATAATATGGCTATGATAACAATTTGCAAGTAATTTTTTTTCACGTTTATAGTTATTTCTTTGTATTCAAAAGTGGTTCGAATTGTTGTGTAAAATCATCAATTTGAAATATCATGTTTTGTCAATGATTTCTTACAAGTCAGAAACACCCAGCTCACATCCACTTTAGTAAAAAAAAATATATAACGGTATTCAAGTCCAGAACCTCCTCGCCGAACCAAGGTGGTCAAAGTTAAAAATAAGACAAGCTTATAACTTAAACCAGAAAATGTAGTAACAATGTGGTCTACAATGAAATTAGCTACAGTTCTATATTATTAAAATGTATTGTTATTGTCTTGTGATGCATTTATTTGTTATTGTCCTGCGTTGTATTTACCTGAGTTTCACGCTGCCAAGAGACGTTTGGAAGTCGGCGAGTGACGCCAACGGGCTATCGCGATCTTTACATAATCTGAAACAACATTATTATTTGGTTATTTGTGATGTACGCTTATCGAATACGCAACGGGCTTGTCAAGGAAATCGAATGAACTTTAACGTATTCGGTGTGCAGTGGCGCATAATATTAATGTATGAAGTCGTATGGTTTTTATCGAATAGTCATTTAACAAGCGGCGTCCAGTATTGAAGTATCTTTTGGAATGAGGGCACGCATAATTTTATAAATACAAAATGACCAGCGCACCTTCTGTGGACAACGATTTTTCAAAAGTGCAACGTGTTCTCAGGGCGATTGCGTGTGTGAATACTATCCGTCTTTTAAGCGCACGAATATATATCGCGTGAACACCCCGCTGTCTATCCGCTTGTAATCGAGTCGTGTGACCGAGGCTTAGTGTAATGGCCCGCTCACACGGTCCACCTCGGACAGTCCCTAGCCGTTGGCCTCACCGCTTGGCGATGTCCTTGTGCGGCGGGCTGTGCGCGCGCGCTTCGCACTGCCTCTTCTCGGGCGGCTTGGCGCGCGGCGAGTCCCCGTCGATGTAGCTGATGGACGCGATCTGCTCCTCCAGCGCGGTGCGCTTCCTGGAAAGCGAACGACTTTAATGTAGAGCTGCTAGTATTACCAAGGGCAATGTTTTTTATCCGTGGTTCTACCAGCAGAACTACGGGCAAGAAATGATTACATTGTATGGGTATTGCCTACTGATCGGGTAGTACAGTCACCGTCAAAATTAATAATGTTACCGGTTCTGAGCCAATTACAATTGTTTTCTAAGATGATACCTGTGACAGTTCATAAGAGATAAATTATTTTTAATACAGTTGCTCACAAAAGCCGAAAGTTGGACTTTTCGCACTAGTGCTATTTACTTTAACATTTTTTTATTTACTGTTGTTTCAAGTCTTAAACATAGAACTAAAGAGGTTGTATATTTAATTGATATTTATGTGCTTTGTGACGCAAGTCATTCGTCATTAAAAATTATATTTACTTTCAAACATCTTATTTGTTTAAATTGCATAGGTGTTTTATAAAACAACGGGTTACATTTAAAAATACCAAAATATTTTCCATAAAGATGGCTGATTGCGTATTAACAATGACCGGAGGTGAGTGTTACGCGAGACCGCTGCGCGCAGCGCCACTAAAATAGTAATTTTAATGTGGCTGAATACTGGCAACAGTTGAGTTGAGTTGAGTTTGAGAAATAAAATGAGTTTTTTTTTAAATACTGTTTTATTTTACTTTCAATGCAGTTTTTTCGCAAATGTATTAAAAAACGTCATTTGATAAACGTAAGGACTTGTCATTTTCACTTGTCTCGAGTCTTGTCCCTCGCCTCGGGCCAAGAAGCCTCGAGGCTCGCGAATAATAACTAACTTTCCGAACTTGTATCAAAAATAACTACTTCGTAAGTATCGCTTTTAAGTGAAAATATTAATGGTGCGTGTATTCACTCTGGGGGTAGTTAATAAGCACAGAAACAACGTGGTTACTAAAGATAGAGAAAAAATTATGTTACAAGTCGGTGATAAGACTGTTGTAAACGAACAAGAAATTGTTGAAATTTTTTCTGATTTGTTTAATTTTGGAAGTGCTTCTATTTCGTCTGAGCTTGGGTTAATTCCTTGCTTTCCAGTAACATACATTTTATTAACAAAGACATGAATTGGACACAAATTGCTACGTGTGAGGTACGAACAATTTTCAGGAAGATGGAGAGAAAAAAATCAACTGGCTATGACGAAATGCCTATACGGTTATTCAAGATAATGTGGACATCCTGGCAGAACCACTTTCTAAGTTCTACAATGAGTGCTACATTCAGGGGGGTTTTCCAGAACAACTGAAAATAGCAAAAATAATTCCCATATATAAAAAAGGTAAGAAAACAGATCCAAAGAACTACAGACCTACTTAAAACGCGGCTATGCGACAAAATATTTTTGAGATATAAAAAACCATAACCCAGTTTTAGAGTATTGAAATTGTTTAATGATATTTCAGATATGCACCGTTAAGGTAAGTCCCGATAAGCCGCACACGTTAACTAATTTTAACTGTTTTTAAAAGTGAATTTTGTGTTCCATCTTATGCTATTTAAAACGGATATTTGACCATTTGTCACTTTGCCACGTTTTAGTTAGTGGACAGCAGTATATATTGTGCGTCCCGTTTTAAATACAATTTTGAAGCTTAAAAACAAGATTGAATTTTAAAACAGGACGTGAACATTTTAAAACAGTCACTATAACATAAAACATGCTCCCCAGAAAAAAAAATCTACAAAACATCGACGATATGTCCATGAACATATTTAATTTTGATTATTTGCCGTTTGTTTTTATATTTACCACTAGGAGCTAAGGTAAATAACATATACTCGTGTACATTGCTATCTCCAGTTACAGTACCTGTCTGCCATATCCGAAGCAGCCTCGATATCAACTCTCAAATTCCTTCTGGGACTGGGTTCAGCGCTGCACAATCCGGATTCCGGTGGCGTCGAGCAAAGGGAGTCGCCCTGCCATGAAAGGTTATTTAATTTAAAAATTATTAATAACATTTTTGTCCTGCAGAAATTTGCGATTTAGAATCTGAGCCCCAAAGTGTCTTTGAATAAATAAAATAACAATATCAGTACAGAGTACTAAAAAAGCCGACCTCAAAAGTCATTTATCCCCTAGTTTGCCACCCTTAGAGGTGAAACACTTTCTTCAAATTTAAATGGGACTACAATTGAGGTACCCTCTTTCCAACAAAAAAAAGTATCATCAAAATCGGTTTACAAATTCAGAGTTATCGCGTAACATACATACAAAAAAAACATGGGCTGTATTAGATTTAATTACCGATGAAATGTGATGCCGTTTGTTTTGTAATTAGATATTTTGCTGTTTATCCCACATCATCGAATGGAACAGCCTCCCCCAGAGAAACTATCATTACAATAAATACAGAATATTTTTGGAATATACGGAGACGTACAGACAGGTCAGTTGCTGGCGCTGTACTATTTCAGTTTTCTCATTTGTGATTTCATCGCAAACGAGAATTGATATTTAAAATTGATTTAAGGTCCATTGGCTTGATGAGATGCCAGGGATGGATGGCCCTTATTTCGTGTCTCTATTTCTTGTTGTATACTCAATGATAGAAATAGATTATATAGCGAAAATAAATACCTGATATTGTATAGTGTGTAAGGCGGTGTCGTCCTCTTCGCTGAACATGTGATGATCTCGTTCTTGCGGCGACAAACGAAGTCTCATGTCTGCCAATTCCGCTTGCCACGGTTCGAAGTACGAGTCGCATGAAGATGATCTGAAAAATGTTTAAAAATAATATTATTGAAAAAGATTTCGTTACAATGTCAGTGTAATAGATACTTATTTTAATAATCTCAGTACAGAGTACTAAAAAAAACCGACCTCAAAAGTACGTAGAATTACATCTATTGCCAAGTTTTACTGAAATCGGTTACCGGAAAGTGCGCAAACCCGGATTCATCCCCTATTTCGCCACTATACGGAACTTGACACAGGAGATAATAAAAATCGGTTCTCA